GGATCCATGTTAGTGTTACAAACTCAACGTAAGCTAGAATATGACATTTAGAACATAAACTAAGATCAGATAAGAAGTACTTCACTGATCCCAATGTGGGAAAGGTTTGCAAAAAGACAAGGCGTAGAACATTAGAGAAATGAATAGACTAGAAATAAACAATTCAAAAAGTAAACGTCTCAAATAGAAATAAAAGAGCATTAAAAAAGTAGTATGTTGAAATAGAAATGTACACTAACGAAATATAAAGCAGGATATTATAAAAACACAAGCGTGTGAAGAATGGAATATTAAATCTGAAATTGAAGATAAATGTAAAATGTGTGAATGTTATAAATCCAGTGATCTAAGAGACGCTATGGAGCAGAGAGCTCTCTTCCAGCCAGAGGAGATTTGTTATCAAGACGTATGGAACTACGAACACTTGAGAGAAATGAACACTTTGTTTTCTTTGTGCTGTTTCTGTTTCTGATTTTGTGTAAAGCGTCTTTGAGCACTGGGAAAGGCGCTATATATATGACCTCAGTGGGCGGGGCTTACCGAGCACGGTGAGGTCTGCGCTGGCGCGCGTCGCTCCGATCATCACCACGTAGGCGCCCTCGTCCTTGGGCTCGCTGTCCTTGATGACTAGCGTGCGTCTCTTCCCGTCGCTCAGCATGCTGAACTTGTCTCCGGCCTGCAGCTCCGAGCCGTCCTTCAGCCACTTCACCTCGAACGTGTCTTTGGAGACGGAGCAGCTGAACTCCGCCTTCTCGCCCTCCACCACCTCCACGCTGTGCGGCCGCGAGATGAACTCTGCAGCCAGCTCTGAGAGGAAGAAGCAGCAGGGGTCAGAGGTCACACACGCATCAAGGTGAACACAGGTTACTGCAGAGTTCCTATTTAGTTTGTGTTCTCTCTCCTTCTCATGACATCATACAGGGACCATTGTAGGCGTAAATCTAAATATGTCTCCTTATGATAAAAATATATTTCAAGTCATAAAAGTACAGAAAAGGTTGAGTTCAAAGTAAAAAACTCCAGAAAGAACCCTTCAAAAAGTAATGAGTAAGCCTTTCTCTATTGACCTCCAGTGACCCTTATATGCCGGCTGATTTAGCCTGGTTGCAGCATGATGTTTGGAACCTGAGCAGTCCTAAAGAGGTAAAGTTATTATAATCTTATAGTCCTAATACTAATCTCTAAAGTTATCATGAACATTCCTCCTGCCCTCCGTACCGTTGATCTTGAGGGTCCCGGAGGTCTTGATGCTGGCGCTCAGCCTGCAGGTGTACTCCGCGGCGTCGACCATCTTCAGGTCCTGGATCAGCAGGATCCTCCTCTTCCCGTCCACGATGTGCTCGTAGCGGCCGCCCTCCGGCAGCTCCTCGTCTCCTCTGAACCAGCGCACCTCGGCCGAGGGTTTGGACACCTCGCAGATCAGCTTCACGCTGTCCGTCTCCGTGCCCTCCACGCTGGACAGGTTCTTACTGAAGCGCGCCTCCTCCTCTGTGGACACAACGCCCGTCAGAATAAGGCTCTCAGACACTTTCACATTATACTTATTATCACTTTCTATAATGGGTAAAAAACAACAGATTTTTACTGCTTTAATAAAGACTACATATTATTTATTTCTTCATTTTGTATCAAAGACGATCTTACGAAGCAAGTCAAAGTGAATTAGCTGAAGGTTAGTATCTTAGTTGCACTGCATGATCAGCTGAGCCCAAGTGGTTCCCGTATGGAAGCATTGCTCTGGATCTGTGACATGTGTATATATGAAGTATTCCTTACCGACGACAGTGAGCATGCCGGAGGACTTGATGGTTTTGGCGTCGCACTCGTACTCCGCCTCATCGTCGAACACAGACTTGTGGACGATGAGGGCGTGCTGCCGGCCCTGAGACACCATCTCGTACTTCTTCCCTTTCCTGATTTCACTTCCGTCTTTGAACCAGCGGACCTGAGAGAGAGGAGGAGGAGCGTGAGACACATCGTCTTTAAACCTTTATTGATCTGTCTATCCGTGGACGGACACTCACCTTGACGTCCTCTCTGGACACTTCACACTCAAACCTGGCAGATTCCTTCTCTTTCACTTCCACGTCGTGCAGCGGCTTCGAAAACTCGATGTGTGGAGCTGAGGACGCAAAGAAAATAATTAAATACTTTAAATGATTCCTCATCAGGGTCTATGAGGGTCCCCAAGTCTAATGGGACACTTGATAGGAACTTCTGAAAGTCTTTAAGTGTCTTTTCAAGGGTTCCTTCACTTCTTCATGGGTCATTAACCTCTTACAAGAGATTTCTTAACTTTTATAAGGGTTTCTTTACACTTCTGATTGGCTATGTAAGTAATATGAAGGGTTGTTTAACGATTAAAGAGCTGATGAGTGTTTCATTGACTCTTAGAGGGGGGGTAGGGTCTAGCATCTTGCTTCTATCATCGTCCTTCAACTCTTTACAAAGAGTTTCCCGGACTAGAAGTGATTCAGATTCGTCCTTAACTCTCATTTCAATTTCATTTTTCAGGAGGTAAAACTTTTTTGAGGGATCTTAAAATCTCCTGAAGACGGTTCCTTAGCTAGAACTCTAAGGTAGTTTCTATATTAGTCTTAAAAAAGGGTCTATAGAGTTCCCTATAAGCTCCTTAAGCTTTTTGTAGGCTTTTCAGAGAGGTCTGTCTACTGTAACGACATCCCTCTCGATATCTAAAGAGTAACCGTTCTCTTCTATGAACGCGTTTGGTTTCCCTGCTGAACCATTTTCAGGAGGTAAAACTTATTTTTAAGGATCTTAAAACCTTCTGAAGACGGTTCCTTAGCTAGAACTCTAAGGTAGTTTCTGTATTAGTCTTAAAAAAGGGTCTCTAGAGTTCCCTAGAAGCTCCTTAAGCTTTTTTCAGAGGTCTGTTTACTGTTTACTCTCTTGATATCTATAGAGTGACCGCTCCCTGCTGGACTCACGCTCCACGTTGAGGAAGCAGGAGGTCTTGAACTGCTTGGCGTCGCAGGCGTACGTCCTGGAGTCATCCAGCGTGCAGTCGTGGATGATCAGCGCCCTCTTGTGGCCGTCCACGATCATCTCGTACTTCTTTGTCTTCCTGATCTCCGTGCCGTCCTTGAACCATGTCACCTCGGCCTTCTCCCGGGACACTTCACACTCCAGTGTGGCGGTGGCCTCTTCCTCCACCGTCTGGTCCTGCAGAGGCTTCGAGAACTCCACCGCCGGCTCTGAACCCCAAACAGAAACATATGTTATTGAGCTTTACCTATGGAAACCTCCAGTGGGGAATCAGCAGGTTCTCAGAGTGCCTCGGCAGACCTTTGACGATGAGGTTGGCCTCCGTCTGGAAGTCCTTGGCGGTGAGTTTGATCTGTCCGGCTTCATTGAGCTTGACGTCCCTCAGAGTCAGGCTGTGGACTTTAGCTTCCGACTTCAACACCACCTGTTCAACACACGCAGGCATTAGGAGGGTTTGCACCGCCCTGAGCATCGACTGCCAGGCTCTACAGAGTCATGCAGCCTTCAGACCGGACGCAGGGTATTTAAAATCCAACCAGCGTGCTAATCAAGAGCGCTAGCTAGCCAAAGATGGTCATTGATGCATCTGTGTGGCGCTCAGCAGAGAACCCTAAAATACTTCATATCTTAGCTTCATCATACCCTCCATATTCCCTCTGTATATAATACCTATGCATATCAGACTACCCTGCACTCCACCCTTCCTTGCGCTGCTGCTCAGATGCTAACCACATCTTGTTGTCAATGTACAATGACCTAAAGATCTGATTGAATCCAATCTGATCATTGCATTGTTAAAACCCAGCAGTGATTTCAACTTGGTTGGAAACCGTTTTTTACATCATGTGATTACACTTGGTGTCATGTGTTTGGCGTGGCTATGGCTTATTGTGCTTATCTGTATATGGGGGGGTTGCTGGTTCAATCCCCCCACCTGCAGTCAGCACGTAAAAGTTTCCTCGAGTAAGACGCTGAACGCCGTATTGCTCGCGTTGGCGTGTCAAAGTATTGAAGTGTCTAAATACCATGTCATGTAATGTATTTACTGTAGGTATGTCTAAATCTATTTTCCATTTACGACTTCTGTAACTGCCTCGATCCTATTGGCTGCTTTGGACATTCGTCACAGTGTTAAAAAGTTAACCCGTGTTCGGCCACACCCCACTGGGCTGGGCCGTTTTGATACCTATGTTCAATCTATCAGATAGTTTCACTTTCACGGGGTTGGCAGGGAAACGGGGTTCAGGGGGAGTGGCTGGTAGGAGTAGAAAAGGGGGAAGTGACGTCTGACTCAGAGGTCGCCCGGCTGTGGAGAAGAACGTGTTGCCCACATTCTGTTACTGAGTTTAGGCTAGTTAGCTAGCAGGTTTATTGTTTTGGGTGCAGTCACTTTTGCCTCCACTTGCTGTTCAAATAAATGTTGAAAGAAAAAGTAAATCTGCTTACAGTTCTGTTTCATATGGGTGTTGAGATGTATCCATAGATTTAGTCCCTAATGTTGCTCTCAAAGTGCACCAGATTGATGCATTTAACTTCAATATTTAAAAAAACATCTTCCCTGGGGAGCATGCCACTCAAGGGCTCAGGTGATGTGATTACTAAATGAATAATGATTCAAAACAACATTAAATGCAGGGTTTTTTGTTAAGTAACATATTTTCGTTGCCGGCCGGCCGATACATGCCACACATTAAGTGGGCCTGTCTGTCAATTAATCCCCGGGCCACTTTTCCCCCCAAGTCGGCCCCTGCCCGTGTTCAACTCTGGGCTCTCTGAAGGAAACCATTGCCTGGTTTACGACTTTATAATGAGATTCATAAAACTTTATTCATAATGTGTTGGAGCGCTAGCCAATAGGAGCGCTAGCCAATAGGAGCGCTAGCCATTGTTCTGTTCTCTAACAAAATACTATTCTTTCTATTATTTAATAGCATTGCGTTTCATATGGAAGTAATCCAAAAGAAAGCAATCTGGATACTTTTAAAGTTTGATAACCAGATGTATTTTTACAGGTAACTCGTTTTTGTAACGGATTATATTTTTAAACTGCGACTCCCTGCATACCATATACATGTATGTGTATATGTGTGTGTGTGTGTGTGTGTGTGTGTGTGTG